GAAGAATCGTGTAACTCATTGTATGATAAAACTGCTGCATCTAATAAGTACCCCTAGGTTAAGCACTATTTCAGCAAATTCGGCCACCAAACACCAACTAACTACAGTTAGAGGAGACGAAACATGTCTTTTTTCCTTTATATATAACCAGAAATTTTCGTTGCTACGCTGGTAAGATAATGAGAATTTTAAATTGAGAGTTAAGCTCTAAATTCAAACATTAGTAAATATTCCCGTTACATATTTTTCGTCATATTGAAATCGGTCGATAAAAAAGTTAAGCATCGGAACAATACTTCACGGAATCAAAAGTCAATAATTGAAAGCCTTGTTACTGCTTTGCAAGAACTGAACAATGAATTCTCAGAATATGCATGTTGACTTCCGGGCCATTTCTAGGAATGTTTCATTTGGGTCTCTATTTATAAACTTTGGGAAACGAGGGCTGTTTGCGGTCTTAAAAGAGATTTTCTTGGAATCAATAACTGATTTCCGGTAGTAATTCTAAGAATACAAATGTCTTAAACCGAGTATAATATAATTTTTTTATGGCTTTTCCGCGAAGATCCTTCGTAAGGTTTGCTTATAAATAAATTCATTACGTATAACTTAATACCGGTAAACGCTTTTCAATTCGCGAATACTATTTCAGACTATACACTCACTTACCAAAGAGTGTGTGGCATCCATGGTCAGGCCTTACATTGCCCTAAGAAGACAGCGAAAGACAACAAACATCTACGTGCAACAGTAGCCAGAAACCTCCTCACCAACTGACCGACACGAGTGAGAGTATGCATGACAACTAATGCACTATACAAACACACAACTTTTCGAAGAAAGCAAGTTTTACATCCGCCTCTTTTCGCAGAATTCCACGAAATGATTAAGACGTCACTATATGCTCAACATCATTTCAACCTTGGTGTATGTTATCAAATAGCAGTGTTGCTGCTAGTGACCTGTGTTCGGATTTCAAAATCAGTGCAGCAGAAGCAAAACTCGAAGCAATATTCATTACGGTCATTTGTCATTTCATTTGTGCTATTACCATGCTAGAGTCTTTTGAAAAGCTTCAAAATTGATGACCTCATTGTTTCAATTCTTTGAAATTAACTGCTTGAGAAAAATTAGAGATAAAGCTACCGTTATTTGCTGTTCTGGAATGTCATGCAAAGGCGATAAGCGCCGGAATGTCGTCATTTTAAAGCCAACATTCTAACAACAGTTAACGACCGAGATCTAAGTCGGCGAACGTCTGCCTAACCAAAGAAATATTTGTAAAAATCGTCTAAATAATATCAGCTTCAGCTTCAAAATGTATGAGGTGGAAGAGTTAAATGCAAATATATATAAGGACTACCCTAACCATGTACACATGCATGGTTGATAAACAAGCGAAATTATACGGACGCCTAAAGAGAACATACTTTCCTGAGATGTTTTTGCTTACCTGGGTAATAATGTTATTATAGTTTCCGTTTAAAGGGCAATAGGTATAAACATTGTGCGTGAATTTTCCGGTAATCTTGAGCGCTTCCCGTTTAAAGAAATCAACAGCTATAAGCTGAAATACCTCTTCGGGCCTAATGAACAAGTTGTATTCATTGCGCATGCTTGCTCGTGTTAGATCACATCTTTTTAATCAGGATGAATCACACTGAATGTGGTCGGATCTTTGTGTGTTTCGAACTTATGTTCTTCTATGAACTTTCTAGGATACGCTTATTCCCTTTATTCAGTTTCGACAAAAAAGATCGATCTGGGATTCAACAAACACTGAACAAAATCATCCTTGAAGCCCTAAATATAACGTTTCGCTGTGAGTCCTTAGCAAATCTGAAAATTGGAACTAGGCTGTGAAAGTATTTTGCGCGTTTCAGTTTCTAAAAAGTTTTCGGGTCTAGATAAATGCATGACTCTTGTCACTTTCTCGAGGAAATTAACAAGACATAAAGACAGAAGAGAGTCACGAGCAGCATGTATTTATGCTATCTAGAATATCTAAACCCACTTTAGGTGTGCATCCAAAATTTCCATAGTAATTCATATTACAACGTCCTGAGAATATTTATGAACACATCTTATTACACAAAGATATATAAGATTTTGTTACCGTGTTCCACTTAAATCGCCATCTTGCACACTTGCGCAGTCAATGACTGAGTGAGGGCTGGGACTGACGGCAAGTTTTCGTTCCCAGAGCCACTCGAAGATTTTCTCGTCGCTAATGTGGGTTATGAAGGATGGCTATTACTTGTGTAATGTATATATCTGTTTGAACGTCCAGCGCTCACCTTCTAACTGCGCTAAAATAAAAGAGATAATTGTGAGTGCAATAAGTAACGTAAACGAGCTATGTACAACAAGAAAAATATTACTTAATGAAGCTGTTACCAAATGCAGCTGATCAATGTTTCCAGCCAATGCATTAACAGTTATAACCTCAATGAATTCTGCTCAAAAAAGGTATGCCAGAGGTAGCTAAGAAAGATGGGAAATGTTCTTTTAGGATCATCGTATGGAGTGTCTTGAATTTCGTGTTCTTTTACATAATAACGACTTCGGTGTTCTCTTTAAACACTATCATTTATCCATCACTAAATGTTATACATTTCAAACACTGTATGCTTTGTTTGACAGGAGAGGCCAAGAAGAACCACAAGTTGGACAATAAAAATTATTTCATAAAGGTAAGTTACAACCATTTATAAACACCCTTGGATATACAGACCCTCCCATATTGGATGTCTGACTACAACAATACAGGTTTGCTAATATTTCTTTGATCAGTGTCATTATGGCTGATGGTGATTAAGTGTAGACCTTGCTCTGATTGCTTTGGTTGTCCAAAAAAGGTAGAAGCAAATTATAAAGGTGACGTAATGGCCGAGTCTTGGCCATATACAGAATGCAAAGGAACAAATCTGTAACTTAAATCAGACCCCTAACAAAATAACAGTGCTCACAACATTCTAAAAGGGTTTTCAAAAACCAAGTGATCTATCATTTCCAGACTTCTACAGTAAATCATGTGTCACTTATGTAACATGCATAACGAATAACTTATTCAATTGCCTTAATCTGCTGGTAGCTCTTCTTCATTATTAAATATTTTTGAATATGGTTTGTAAGAGGCAAGCTGGATTAAACACACAGATATACATGTTTCAGGCAGTAACAACTTGCATTGTATTGGCAATACCCCTTTACTTCCAGTAGCTATTTCCCAACAGTTTTCTATCGAAACTGAAATGATATATCAGGTTCAAGAAAACTGCTGATGACAAACGAAACGTAATCTCCCAATATGTTAATTTTGCAAAAAAAAAAAAACTTGTTATTTTTAATACTCTGGAATAACTTAAATGCAGAAGGTAACTTGAAATGATAATCACGTTTGATATGACACTCTTCAAGTTTCGTGAAGTGGCATAAAATGGCTGGTACGTCTTCATTCATTACTTTTTAAGCTCTTTCCCAAAAGATTGTCTCAAATGAACTGTTAGTGTTAGAATCTGAAAGGTAGCTCCATGTAGCTGCGATGTGCCAGTTTACGTAAGGTTCAAGTTCCTCGCTGAAAGCCTCGCCTTGCAAATTAAAGCACTAAATAACAATTCTTAAATGACGGCAGTAAGTTAAAAATAATGGACAATGAATGTATCCTTCACTAGAAGCACTACTTACAATAGAACGCAGCTGTAAACAATAAATGAATGAATTGCTGAATAAGAATATTTTGCCACCCCTGGGATTAACTTATTTGGCTGTTTGTTTCTGTATCGTCATAAAATCTTGCAGAATCATTATCCAATCTCAGACGATTAACTAACAATAATGCTTTTGGATTGGAACAAAAAAGTTACGTTAATAAATTAAATGTACAAAATGAAATGTTGAAAATATTATTTGGTTCATGAAATTTTGAAGGAGGAAATGACCTTTCAGTGCATGTCTGGACAAAACCCTTTGCACGTTACCTTTGCCAAAGGAACTAAATGTTTTCAATATTTTTCTATAGAAAATTGTTTTTTAGTTTATATCAAGGTACCTACTGAAATGCTAATTATGGAACACAGATGTGGAAAAAAATTATAGGAGATTTATTTTACGATCTTGAATATGTTATTTGTTAAAGGAAATATTTAGTATTCCACATTACTTAAAATTATTGCATAATAATTCATGCGTAATAGTTCTCTGACAGCCTCTTGCAGCAACTGATGATGTTTTAAGTTTCTTACCTGAGAAAATGATAACATCACAGTGTCCGTGGCCTCATGAATTATAAACGGTTTTTTCCATCTTCAAAAACATTGGAAGTCCTTCATTCGTCAGACAGAAAGCACCACACTATAATTCATTGAGTTTCGTACCTCGAGTGACGCAAAACATGAAATACATCTTTCAGTAACCTTTTTAAAACAACCACCGATAAAGATTATTTATGGACCAATCAGCAATGAAAACTTAGAATTCTTAGAAATTATGCAGTTGCTTCCGGTATATTGTTTTCGCGGAAGTATACTGCAAATTGTCCTTCAAATCTCACGCCAAATGTCTCTAAAAAAACCCGATGAAAGCCACAGTTGATGCTCGCTGGTTAGTTCTCTTAATAGTGAACCGTATCAATTGACTGACCTTTTGTAAATTCAAAACAATGTAAAGGGCCAATGAACACCTTTACGACAATTCGTAGAACTTCCTAACCAACATCCGCCTCTTTTCTCGGAAAAAAAAAACAAAGATTGTCTATTGTGGTAGACAAAGATTGTGGTGGTTGTGGTAAACAAAGATTGTCTATTGTGGTAAGATGTCTAATTGTTTATTAATTAGTTAAAATGTTTAAGCCAGTGGAGATATTTACGCATGAGGATAGAGCAAAGAGTCCAAAATTTACCTTTTTGATGTATTAATTGAGAGGCACAAACGGTAAATTTTGAATTTGAGACAAATCGCCAAACCGCATCTTATTCATTCTATAGAATGCGGACCTTGGCGACTTAAATTCTTTCAGAAGTTCCATCCATAGCAAAGGTTAAAAAAGATCTCGTAGCTGATAGATTTCGCAGACTTTCAACACGCCACAGCGGCACAGAAGAAAAGGATGGTAGAAACTGCAAAAGAGATATCTTTTCAAACCCTGATTTTTAATTTGACATAAACAAGCTTATAGGTTGCATAAAACTGAAGCCGTGAATACAATATAATTTAACTGGGATAAACGAAATACAAACAAACGGCAAAATACTTACATTGATATCGCCTACATAAACTGTCAAAGAGTGCTTTAATAACAGAAAATTGCGCTTAGCGCAACTCTAGCTTAAACTAAGCTGAGAAGGAAACCGGGTTTTACACAAGGGGAATGCATAACTACGCTCGGTATGCAACCGTACGAAAGTGAAGGTGTAACTGATGACAAAACGATGACAAACTAATTAAAAATATTAACGAGGAAGTATGAGACAACAAAACAAAAATTATTAGCTAAATACTAATTCCAAAAATAATTAGAAAGCGATCAGATGTTACACTGCACAGCCTTTTTCTCTTTCTAAAATTATCTATGATAGTTCCACCTGAAAACATGATACATTAATTAAGCTGATTAGATATACTACTTAGGGTAAAAGGTCTGTGTATTACTTATTAAATCAAGTGCAAATGTCTAACATCAAACGATTATGAAAATTATTCACTCCGTCTTACGAAACCAGAGTCATTAGGATATCACATAAGGAGAAGAGATTTAGAGAAAAATCAAAGCCAGCCGAAGATTTATTGCTCTCTTTATGGATTTCACTCCCAGTAATCAAATTATGTTCATTCTTGTCAAGCCATGAAATCAAGATTGTTATGGCAATAGTCCACCCAATGTACTGTCGTAAGTTTAACAAGAGAATGAGCATTGTTAAATATAAACACTAATTTTGACCTAACTGAGGCAATGATTGTAAAATCGTACGACCAACGCTCACTGCAGAAGTCATCCCTTCATTCGTCACAACCGGTTCGGGAAAAATTACGCCTTGAGGGTAGAGGGGAAGGAACAATGAGCATTGTTCATTAAAAACTAACTGTGACCTTACTGAGTCAATGATGGTAAAATCGTCCGACCAATGCTCACTGCAGAAGTTCTTCCTTCATTTGTAACAACTAAGTCGAGAGAATTACGCCTTGAAGGTACAGGGGAAGGAAGTGGTGTTATTCGGGGAGGCGTCCCACTATTGGAAGAAACAACTACCCCTGCTTTCTTCATGGCCACCATAGTTGTTGCCCTGAATGCCTCAGTAGTGTTGTCTTCAGGATGAAAGAGAATCACGCGAAGTTTTGGAACGTACATGATGCACAGAACAGCATAGCCTGAACTAAGAATTCCTAAACAAAACACGAAATTGCGCGTCGAGCCTGTGCTGTCATAATAGGCGGGGAAAAAACTCAGCCAGAAAATACAAAACGCAAACATGGCGAAACAGATGAATTTTGCTTCGTTGAAATTTTCAGGAAGCTTACGGGCTTTAAAAGCAAAGTAAGTGCATAGCAGGGCAATAATCAAAACGTACGCCAGAATAACAATGTTTAAGAGTTCGTGAGATTCGTCGCAGCTAATTATTTGCCATCCTTCTCTTGAGTTGTCAACCTTAATCATGACATTGGGTGGATCAACAATCAGCCAAATCGTTGTCAGAATAACTGGAACTAAAGTCATTATGACCGCAACGATCACCTGCATCTTATTGCTGATGAGATAGCTGCTTGAAGCGGTCAGCCGAGACCTGGCTTGAAATATGCGCAGGAGTCTGTCTGTCTTTAACAGCATTATGGAAGTACAGAGGGTCAAAGGAATTGCAAAGGAGAATGGAAATGCTGTGCAGCCAGCTACTGTTGGTTTACCAATTGTCACCAACGGTAGAGCGAAAATAGCTACGATGCATCCCAAGTGCACGAACGAGAGCTCTCGATTGGATGCTTTTACCACAGCTGTGTTGCGATACTTGTAAAAAACTGCCAAGACACTGACAGATATAAAAACTCCAATAACAGCGAGTATGGCTGCACTAATCCCTTCACCATCGCCCCAGGAGAGGAAGTCAGATTTCAGTTTCACGCATTTGGTCCTCGGCGCGTTGGAGACGTAACCATTTGGGCATTTCCTACATTTGTCCTGTCCAGCCTTAGGCTTTATAAAATCAGTCTCGCATTCAACGCACTTCCAACAGCATCTCACACTTTCTTTGACCGGATAAAACCCAGCACGACACTCATCTGAACAAGTTGAGATTGGTTGTTCTGCACTCCAACCATTCCACATGATCTTAGAGTTGTTACTGAGTGAAAGTTTACCATCAATTCCACTCCAATTACCTATCTCAACAAATTTCATTTCGTTATTGCCAGACCGTTGGAGGTTTTTAATTGCGTATGATCCGTAACGCAGATCCCCTTTTTCATCAAACATGATTTGTGAGCCAGACCTTCCCTCGAAGGACACGTTTTTTAGGAATTTCAGGATGTCATTCGGTGTTATTTCATCAACAGAAAGGCATTTTTCACGTGCATCCAGAAGAAAACTGCCTCTATCCTTGCAATCCAAAATATTTTTCACAGCATGAGCGACTGCGTAAACAGCGTCCATAACATTTGTGTATTTATTCCGGGGCAGTAGATCACCAGTTGGAGGACCAGCCTGTGGGTATTTTGGACAGATTATAGTCATATTTGGATGCTTGGTCTTGTAAACGTACAATTCTCTCTCTCTTACATGGACACGGCTGTAAGTACTGTTCATTAAACCTTCCGTGTCCCAGCTACAGTTAAATTTTTTTGTCCAGTATTCCCACATCCACGGATTATGATCGGTATTGTTTGGATTTAGACTCTTCAGATGTTCTTCATATGCTGTATGCTTTTTCAGCAATGGCAACACTCCAAGCATCCCTCCTACGACGTTTTCATCCAATGATTCCAGCTGCCACGCGTCTCCCCAGGTTTCCGTTCCAATCCAAGTTTTGCCCTTCAACCTTTTACGGGACGCTTCGTTTAAGAACCCTAGCGCATTCGGCCTTTCGCACCATAAAATGATCACTCTAACGCGTGGCGTGCTCTTAAGAGACTTGATAATGCGACTTAGTTCATTTTGGGGCAGCGAGGGATTAAAAACTTCCTCCAGAGCGATGCAGATGTTCTTCTTTTTAAGTTCTGATCGCAAGGAGTCTAGCCCTGCGCGCCCGTAAGCGTTATCAGATGCAACGATAGACACATACGTCCAACCAAACTGTTTCAGCAAATCAGCAAGGGCTTGAGCCTGATACGTATCGGATGGTATCGTCCTAAAGAAAGAATGATACACAGTCTTATCACTGAGAAGAACGCTTGTAGAGGAGTAGCTAATTTGAGGTGTATTGTCTACTCCTAGAAGATTTGCTACGTTAGTGGATATCGGCGATGAGGCCGCTCCAATTACTGCAGATATAAGTGTCTGCTTGTCAGTACATTTACAATACCGAGTAGAGCAATTCTTGGTGATAATTTTGTCGATAGTCGTATTTCCAGCATCGAGAATAAAGTCGAGGGTAGCTTTCAATGCCACAGGCACATCGTTGCATGAATCTTTAATGTCATAGCCCAAAGTAAAATTCAGTGGGAAGAAGCGGGGATCGTGGTTGATTTCATTAATAGTAAACAACATTGCTTCGACCCAGTTAACTCCGTAAAAATTGATATCGTATTCTTGTTGTGTCCCATTACCCGTCGGTTGCATAACATGAACAGGAAACAACCCACCAAGAATCAAATCAGCCTCAAGGTTGGAGATCCTTCTCGGATTCTCGCAGTGTTGAACATGGTTAACTCCAGCTGAATGTCCTTTGCTCGAAGTGGTTACCAGAATACAGAAGACAAACAAAAAAAGCTTCATTGTATGCCAAGTATATTTTATCCTGTTACGTCGTTTCTTGTTTTAGGTTGCGCTAGCCACAAGGTAAAACGGCTCTTACGGCACGTCGACTCAGGGAACCTGAGACAGCGATGGCGATTCGTAGCGTGCCTCCAACATAGATGAGCACTATTTCACACAAGCCAAACCAAGAGTTTCAAAATATGCTTCAAGAAAATCGACGATGAGTATGAGTGACGTGAAAAATGATTAAACAAAACTATCGCCAAGGGGCATGAATAATCTCTGCACGATTTTAACCGGCTCGACTAATAACATCTATTAAAGCCGAAAAGCATTTCACATTGATCCGACATTTACAGCATCGTAACAAGGAGCAGTTATTCAAATATTTCAAGCGCGAGAAACTGCAAATCAGAAGTTCCCAATGTACAGTTTATTTGCAGATTCTATTTGAACTGCCTTCAAACACGACTCTACATCACTTCATATGAATATCATTTGTAATTTTTTTTTAATAACAAGGACAGTAAAAAAGATTCACTCTTAAGCTTCTTGTTCTTGTTTAATTACCTTCAGGGTGTGTGATTTTTTTCTCCTTTTTTCTAGATTCAAAGTGTAAATTCTGAGGTCCAGTTGGGAAATATTAAGAAACGGATATAAGAGCTCCTGCGTCATTAAGAACAAATACAGCCCTGCGAGAAAGTTGGCCTGTTTGAATAAACGCGCATGGAAATGTTCTCCTCACCAATTGGAAACAAGAAAACGAGTTTTCATGTTTGTTTTCTTGTCATGCGAGGCGGGATGTCGTATGAATTACTCATTCCCTAAGGCCTTTTGAATCAAATGAAGGGGAAAAACATCGTGCAAGAGAAAAGTTTTGTGTCTTGTTGGATAGAATCCTTGCAATTTGTTTCACTAAGTGAGTAGAAGGCAGCACGATTATATTCGTGACGGTTCGCTAAAATGTCAGTGGGAGACAGCGATGCTATTAGTGCCTTTGACAATGGAACCTAATCCTTATGCAAATTGCCCTGAAGCTTTAATAGCTTGTCCGGTGTTAATCTTTTGTTGTTAGGTTCCGAACGTGTCGAAAGTAACATTTACCTTGATGACTTGAGCAGGTGGTCAGTTTGATAATATGAACCCGCTTAATTAGCGCTTTATCTTACGCGATAATGCAGACATGATAGGAATTAACCGTGTAAGCACTGAGATCTTTTTGACATCAAATGCTAATGCAAGTTGTATTGCATATTCATGTTGCAATGTAAAATTTCAATTTATCATCATTAGTTACCTCTCTCCAAAGGTTCACGAAAATTGACATGAATGAAAATGTAGAAATGATTAAAATAATTAAGTGTATATGGCAAAAAAATTCCAGGAGAAATACAGCTCTTTCTCCATTTTTCACTCATTTTGAAAGCACCTCACGTGAGTTTTGTTGTTCTTCGTTTGCCCTCGTTTTTGAGAATGTGTTGAAAGACAATCCTCTATCTCTTTGGTTCGACCCTTTTTGCACCTATCTTTCCGTCGTACTTTTTAATAACAAAAGGATAACAGAGCCTTCAGGAAAATGACAGGTCATTTCCACTCAAAGTTTTCGTCAAATTAACATATAATTCAAGTATTCCTTCATGTATAACAATACAATAACAAAACAAAACAGATATCAACATTTCCTATATTCGTTTGAAGGTTATTATATAATTCAACACAAAACTGATGTGAAGGGGCCTATGTGTATTTTACCAAGAGATCCTTGATATTGTGAACTTCATAAAAGGAATTCCCAAAAAATTGAAAACTGTTAAGGCAAACAATAACTTACTCCCACATTATCTTAAAAGTAGTTAAAAATCCAAAAGGGAGTCAAAAACGCAGATCATTGGCTGTTTTCATTGATAATTTGACGTAGTTTCGGTTGCTGCTGTAATCCTTCCTTAACTAAATTAAATGAAAAGCAGCTTCTTTACTGAAAATAGAATTTACATCACGGTTGGTGTAATTTGAAGAGTTTGTCCTATTCACAATGGTCACTATTAGCTATCCGTATAAATCTTCCTTATCCTCAGTCATGGCTTTTCTCATTTAGTTAAATATCGCCTCTTTTCGGTTTTTCTATCCTACTCCGCAAATATTTTATGGTCTCGTTCAAGGTGTAGGTAGGTTTGCAGAGGCAAAAAAGTAAAAAATCGTGAAACATTTCATACTGTAGCCTCTGTAAATGTAAATGAATAAGTTCCCTTGAGATTCTTAGAACTCTTAGGTTTCTATTCTTGTTTAGAGAAGATATGTGTTCAGTGATCGAGTTAACCCAGTGACGTTGTAAACTACTACAAAAACCAACGATATTCTCTAATAAAGTTTTGCAAAGTAGGCTACACTGGAGTTTTTTCCTCCAAAGAAGTAAACCTCTGGTCAGTTCTATGTTCAATCATTTTATGTTAACTTTCTGTCACCTGTTTACATTCAACCTTGCGTATGATTCTGGCGCACTTTTCTTTACCCGTTAGCCCCTTGGAGTGACTAGCATCTAATTTCTCCTTACTATATCACCCCTGAATCAATCATGAAAGTCGTGAGGATAGACGAGATGATCACCAACCAAAGAAGCTCTTGATTGTGAAACAAATTCTCCTTGTCAGCCTCTTTGGAAATGTATGGAGAAGAGTATAGAGAATATGCATACTGATGTTAGGGTGTAAAGGGTAAAGTTTTTTCGAACAAATCGAAAACACTGCTTAAGAGAGCTCAGGTATCACATCTCATTGAGCTTAAACACTGGATTGTACAGGAACAACTTTTGGCTTACTGTACAAAAAGGATCTGCCAGAGCCTTTTTTTGTACTGTACCCAGAATGCACCATTGACAAAAACAACTAGCCATGAACAATTGGAAATTAATGCTGTGTGGAAGATCGTTTAATCCACGTTTATCAGTAACATCAGCATGTGCATAATAATATTTGCAATACTAAATATAGATACTGCATAAATAGGCACACTGCCTTGTAAAAAATTTTATATTAGGTAAATAATACAATTCAAAATGCTAGCATCCTTACTGAGTTGCAATACCTCACCTCAGAATAATGTTGCTGTATATCTAAATCGGTTCATAAGACTTGACATTAAATATGGATTATAACCATAATAAATAAATTTGATTATAGCTATCTGAGTTTCTATATCAACTAACAAGAAAATTTGTTCTTCATCATTAAAAAAGTGATGGGTCCCACCACAGTAGATCAATTGAATACTGTTATATTACACCTGTGAGAGCCACTACTCACAGAGCTTATTGAATTGGCATACCCTGTGGAATCTAAATTATACATCATGTCCTCATGATGATGGTTCATGATAAATGAAGTCCTAATTGCCTTCTTAAGTGATCCAAAGCTTTTGCTTTCTCGTAATTAATTACTAATTTGGATTTTAAAAACACTTTGCCAAGTTTTAAAAATTTTTGTCATGGTACCAGATTGTGGTACCACATAAAATTCTACAATTAATCCGAGGAAAGTTAAACTCCAAGGGTTTGGCTACATTAACCTTTTCATCTAACATACCCTCTTTTTAACAGTGTAGTGTTTCATTTACATAAAAGAATATTGTAATATCTTATATTGATAACTCCTGGTGCTTGGGAGAAAAACAAGCAACAACACTCATTATTATAATGACAACCTTAAATTATTAGTGATTGATTAGAACATCTTCAATTTCATATCAAAATTCCTGAGCAATTCCTTTGATAGCCATAAATAGCACAATACTTTCTTTATAATTAATGAAGCATTAGTATTAATTAATAATAAATTAACATCAATTTGTCATTGCTGGTTATTTTCTTGTCTTTGTATTCTGTTCACCTAACAGAGTCAAACATTGCCAGACTTTGCTTTATTGACTCATCCTGAAAAGTCAATCAATAATAATTATCAAATACTAATAAATGAAATCCATCTGATGAGTTTTATAAATTTGGAAGATTTCAGCCTGTTGCTTTCAAAGTGTCCCATAGGGAGACCAATGCACAGAATGGTTAACTATGTTGACTCAGATACATTGTTTGTTAACAGATATTGCTGAGTATTTTTACAAGTTCCGCCATATTTTTAGGAGCCCATAGGGTGGGTCAAAATATTAACAAAGAACAAAAATAATCAGCCCTACTTCACACCAAAAATGTCTGATAAGTTATTTATTATCCAACTGCTTTATTTCATGCACATTTCTTAAAACACGAGAAAAGCCAGGCAGATTAAAGAAGCCTAGCATGTGTAGCTGAAAGGTTGACAAGTGTTTTTACAGTACAAAATAACCAACTGTACAATATTGCAGGATATCTGTACTCGATTTGTGCATTATTTGTACTCTCCTCTGTGCAGTTGGATGATAAGGAAAAATTATCCTACTTATATATTCCACTTTTACTATTAGTAATAAATTTCAAAAATCATAAGTATATGAATCAAAGGGTAATAAGTTTCTAAAGAAACTGATATGCTGCCTCAGTGAGGGGTAGTACAAGTTGCTGTAATTTGGTTCTATTAACTGAGTTGATGATGTAAATTGGCCATTGTAAAGATTTTCTAAAGCTGAAGTATCAACCATTAGCCCTTACCTTTCTTTCTAATGATGGGTCAATGTTTGAAATGTCAGCTTTAGTAACTCCTAACAGTGGCCAACTTACATTATCAACTCAGTTGATAAAACCAAAGTCTAGGAATCAGAAACAGCTGACAACATCTTGTGCCATATGACTGGTTGATCATACACAGCTGTACAATGTACTGTTACCAACAAGTACATGTAAAATAGGTTCTAGGATAAGAAGTTATAGGAAGAAAGGAGCCTCACTTTGATGAAGACCACACAATTCCTTCCCCACTAGATACTGCATTATATATGCATATAGACATGTCTTTATCATTCAAAGGGTATACACTGTAATTTGGTGAACTTTATGTCCTTACCTTTTCACAACCTTGTAAAAATTCCTCTTCTGATATAACACCATCTTGATTCTTGTCCATTAGCTAGAGGAAATATTAAGAAAGTACATGTAGTACTAAATATTACACCAAACTACAATGGATTCAGGGTTTAGGTAATACTAGGTTCCAGAATCAAGAAATCAGACCAGTTGACAATCTTTAGTTAACTGATTTTTGTTTAATACAAAGTATATATATTTAGTTTCTAATCAAAATGACCACCCCTTCATTTACTCCCAATTGCTCAGTCATATTTAGAGTTTAGACCTTATTCGTATACAAATTCTTTGTTCAATTTTTGAATAAATTTTTTTTCTGTCACATAACTTTCAATAAGATTGTATAAAGCAAAGTGTAAGCTCCTATATGCCCACCCAGATGCTGGTGTAGCATAACACCTTCATGATCATCATTGGTAACATGTACCTCAGGTTTCAGGTTATGGGTAGGGCCCCATTCTAGCAGACATTTATAATGCCAACCATAGCCTTTAGTTAATGACACATACACACAGTATAACTTGCTAAAACTATGTATGCTCATTTCTCACCATAAATAGTCTCTCCACTTGTTCATCAACACCCATCTCAGCACCTGTAGGCAGTGCGTCAATACCCATCATACAGTGCACTGAATGAACCACAGTAGCCATTTCCTATAATAACAATCATTATAGACCAAATGTTTATACCTTTATGAAAAAAATTAAATTCATTTTGCTGACAGTGAGGCAAAAGCCCTCCCTTTCCCCTTCTCAAATGTTTTTATGTGCATGTACATGTTTTACATCCTTAAAAAAAAAAGTGTCTTTGATGTACAAATTTAAATAAGTACAACTTCACAATATAAGATTGACATGAAGATGGACTTCTATGCAAGAATTGGAAACAAAAAAAATATGAGTACTGGGAAAAACCTCAAAAAATTACATGCATAGTCAGAAAAGACTCGTTTTCTGGATTCTACCACTTTAAAAGTATTTAAGTTGAGTACAATGCATGTGCATGAACATAATCAACACTGGTGGTAGAATTTTGATCATACATGTTTGTATGTTTTTAAAAAATGTGTATACTAAATAAATAAAAGATTTTATGCATTTGTTTCAACCAACCTCTCTTGTTATGAACCCATCACTATCGAGATCATACAACTGGAATGCCCATCTCATTTTTTCCTCCCTATTGCCATAAAGTGACAATGACAGGCCAGTAACAAAGTCCTAGGAAATTAACAACAGCTGTCTTAACCCTTTCACTCCAAGACAGAATTTCTCCTCACAATATCAATACAATATCAAGCAGACAACTGATGAGAATGATGAGAAATATTAATTAGGGGATTATTAGTTGATCCAACACCAAATTCTCCAAACTAACATCACAAGAACTATATGGCAGACAGTAAGGAGAACCATTAATGAGATCTTGGGGGTTAAAGGGTTAAATAAGAATTTTCATCAAGCATCTTCTGACTATAACCACAGTGACTACTGCATTTGACAGTTACCACTTCTTGAAATGATAATAAGAATAAGTTCGCTACACTCATGAATAAATAATACATATTATAATTCAAAATAATAAAATAATATGCAGTAACTACAGTGACCTTAAAACTGAACAAGCAGGAACAACCAATCTTACACATTTTAAAGTTCAACTGTGTTTTGTGCATTTGCTTGAATTGT